AGCTGATACCTTACTTAGCTTAGGCATGATAACTTTTGACCCAGAAGAAAAAGTCGTCGGAACATGCCAACATGGGATCTTGTTTCGAAGGTCTCGCCATGGCGGAATTTTTTTGTGAAAATGGATTTTGAATCGAACAGACCGTTTGAGTTACAAAACATTTGGAAATTTCAAAATAAAGTGAATCTATGATGACATTAGCTTTTCTGCACTTTAAGTGCATTTGCATGTGGGAAGAAAGTTGGAAGAAATCATTTTTATGCGCGGAACTTTTATATGTAAACATCGTGGTAACTCATGTACCATAGACGTGATAACTTGCATATCCCAGACGTGATAACTTTTTATTCGAAAACAAAGTCGTCGGAACATATCAACAAGGGATCTTGTTTCGAAGGTCTCGTCGAGACGGTTCTTTTATATGAAAACAGTTTTCAATCGGACCAACGGTTTGGGCTACAAAACATTTTACATTTTGAATTTCTTTAGAATATTTGTTGATGTCATCATTTCTGTTTTATATGCATGCGTGCATGTAGACTTGAAAATGAATTAGGAATTGGCTCGCACACCACACTCACTTACTTTTTAAAATCGTGTGGATGTGTTGCAATCCTCCGGACGTATGGAAGTTAGTCAAGTCCAGATTTAAAATGTGAACGACTCGCTAACTTTGATTGCGAATTTAGTGGGAAGAATCTGAAGACTATACCGTTGACTGTCGTGATTTTTCTCTGAATTGGATCTGTCACTTTTTTTGGGTGCTAGATCTATTGGCACGCCCTCATTACATTTTTAGTCAAAAAATCATGCTGAATATGGAATTTGAACTCACGCCTAGCAGCTAATGTGAAACACATACTAACCAGCTCAGCTAGACCATTTGTTGCGAAAAAGAATGCACGCCATACTATTTGACCATTCCATGTTGCTTTCTTTTCTTATTTACTGTGAGGAGTTGATCAAATATACCCCGGTACCTATTATGTGAATAACATGGTCACTTACACATCGCAAACCCGATAACTTATACATCCATGTCCTGACTTTGGCGACCGAAGGGGGAGGGGGAGTTGACGAACTTTTGTGTGAATAGCATGGTAACTCACACATCGTAGACCTGATAATTTATGCACCCTATCCTGATAACT